TATTCAGAATGGTTGGTATTTTCTTGTGATACCATTTTCAAAAATTCTGACCCATCGGGGCGTGATTAATTACTCCAATTCAATTCATCGCCATAGAAACCAATGTTAAAAGAGAAAATTAATAACTTGGTTAATTATCGAAATTTTTCGTTAATTTCAGGTACAAAATTGTTTCTCAAGATGGTTAATTGAATAGCAAAATTAGAAGAAAAAATTCGAACGCTGTCGCTATTTTTCATGAAATGCTTTAAACTTTTGACAAAAAAGATGCCATGTAAAATTAACAGCGTCTAATTAATTAATCACTCACTGATTTACTGAAATAAATTTAGGTGAAATTTTTTGTTTTATCAGTAGACAATACCTGTGAAAATATTATACTAAAAAAAAGACTAGTATTGGTAACCTAAAAGTGTACCTAAATTTGATTTGATTTTGCACAAATCGTTGGCTTTAAACTTTTGAATTTGACTGTATATAATAATCTTTCGTTAAAATAAAATATTTCCTAATATATTTTTGTTGACTTTAATGCATTACTCCTTTGATAGACTAATTGATTTCAAACAAAATCCATCTAACATAAACAAAATACTCATTCAATATTTATTAATATATTATAATGGATTAGCATGAATCTAAATGGCATTAAGTGACTCAAGAACATGATTTACATTGAATTTATCGAATAGACTCAAGTTAATGTTAAAAGCTAACACAATTTAACTTTAATCAGATAAATAGGCGCATGTTTAATTACACATATTAGATTAAACTTTTTTTGCATCATTCGAATACAACATATTAACGCCAATTGATTCAATTGACTCATTTGTTCCATTCTAAATTTTGGTGAATTTAAACAATGTTCATCTTTCCATATGACGATTATGGCTTTATAGTTCCAGTAGTGTTGTGGTTAGCAGTGAATGTCTGGATTGTGATTCTTTGGTATAATAAATGGCGAGTTTGTGGCCTCAAAAAGATTGACCAGATTCTACTTCAAATGAATATAGTTGAGTTTTTTGCGCTAACTGCTTCCGTATTCAATGATTATTCATTCTGTACCTCAGTAACATCATTGAGACGATTTAAAAAATATTTATGTGTATCGATTTTCCCATTTGCCTTGTCCTGTTCACGTTTCATGGTTGAATGTTATTTTGTGATCGCTTCACTCGATAAATATTATTCAATAGTCCTTCCATTCAAGACAAACTGGATAACGGAGCAACCTTTATGGAAAATTTTCCTCATCAATCTAACAATATCTGCAATAGGAGCCGTGCCAGCAGCCATTCCTTTTGAAACTTGTGAAGGTGAATCAGTTGCTACAGAAGATTCCTTTTCTCATGATAAAAGTCATGGTTATTTTACCTTCTTGCTCATATGGAATATAGTGATCATGTCTGTCATCCCCGTTGCAATCGAGATTTACCTTGGAGTCAGAATTATCACTGTAATACATCGTATGAGCAAAGAAAGTCCATCCAATATAAAATTTTCTCCAATAAAGCCAACCTGTTTTATCGTTTTATCAATCGTCCTACGAATCGCTCTTGTTGGTCCATTGACAATAGAAAGTCTTAACTCTATGTTAAAATCTTCATCGGCAATCTATTGTTCATCAGGTACATATTTAAGTGTATCTGGATGGTATTCACTTTGTTCACCAATACACAGTATTTTGTTTTGGTTCATCAACAAGTCAAAATTATCCTGCACTTAACCTCTTTATCTAAATTGCTATTTTCCAGTCTTTAATCATCTTTATGTTTATATATTTATGAAAACAAAAATAGATACATTTATAGAAATAAACTTCATCATTTTTGTTCATTGTAGAATCGTTTAATGTTGAATTTCTAAATGTAAACTGCTGATTGAAAAGGTAAGCCAATTACTTTTCGATCTCTAACCACGTTCATTCCTATTTTGAGGGAGAAAAGAAAGATTAGTTTTGATCATAATTCAGCGATTGTCATGTTACTCACCTATGTCAGTCTGTTTAAAAAGACAATATTTGAGAAGATGGAAGATTCCAATAACGGGAATCGGAATTACAGATGAAAATCCAAATATCCATCCCAAAATATTAGCTTGGGAAGGGAATACATAATCCATGAATATAATTGGTTCAGGTTGTAAACAAGAGAGAGTTATAATGCACTGTGAATGAAACAGATTTATATTAAATAATGGGTAAAACGAATTTAATTATGAATTAAAAGAAGTAAAAAAAGAGTTAGGACTTTATTCGAAAAAAGTCTTTATTTCTTTTTTCGACGATACAAAAGATGTTTGACTTACTATTAGGAAAAATGGTGAAATGTATTTCCAACAAATTTTCCAGAAAAAGGCCGGTCTAAATCCAAGCATGGATTCGATATCGAGACAAAAACGATTGATTCCTGTAAACAGTATCAAAGTATAACGTGCAGTTACAATGTTTTGATTCAAATCTAAAAGTTTGCTTACCATATCCATAAACTATAGCTAAAGCTTCAAATAAGGCAGAACACAATAAGGAAACTGCAGCCGCATAACTATCAAACCATACCATTGTATATCCACCACCCTATTTAAATCAAAGGCTTATTTATGTATTATTCATTCACTAATTTGGTCTAATCTGGTCTAACCTGAGTACAGTTGATTAATGAAACAAGAAACGAGGCGAATAAAACCATTGCTGTTAATCGTTCTCGACTAATTTTCTTTATTTTCCACTCGTCGGTGATACCGGTTATTACAGCTTCCAAGCCACCCATCTGTATCAATTATAATCATAATTTGTATCATTATAATATTATATTTTGTATTTTGTCAATAAAGATTAACTCACCGCTGAGTCAAGACCAAGAGTAACTAACATAACAAAAAAAAGTATGGACCAGAGTTTAGCTAGAGGTAGAGTTGAAATTGCTTCAGGATAAACTTGAAAAACCAAGCCATAACCTTCTTTAGCAACTGTCGAAATATCAGCTTGTAAACTTTGAGCCATGTAACCAAGATAGACAAATATAACGAAACCAGAATAAAATGATGTGCATGAATTTATACAAGCTGTTAAAAGTGCATCTCTAAGTAAAAGATAGTTCAAAATAAATTAGTTAAACTAACCCAGTATCAAAATAACCTGTGTTTTTACCTGTAACAATTATTGTTAAATTTATTGAATGATGCATATGTAAGATGAACTCCAAAGCCAACTCCGATTGAGTAAAAGACTTGAACAGCAGCATCTACCCAAACTCCTGGCTGTTGAAGCTTTTCTAGTCTTGGGCTCAGGTAGTATGCGATTCCCGTGCCTTTTTTAAAGTAAATTTTCAATTATTCATTATTCAATTCCAAAGATTATGCTTACCTGCTCCGGGTAGGAAAACTCCTCTAATCAGCAAGATTGTAAGTATAATATAAGGTGCTGTGGCAGTGACCCAAACAACCTATCATTTCAAAAATGCAAAGAAAGCGATTAGTTCAAATAATAAGAATAATATGAACGATAAGAGAAAAGCTAAAACAGAATTGGAAGTTTACTTGCCTTTCCAGATGATTTAACACCTTTCCAGAGTGCAAAGTAGAGCAAAATAAAAGTGAATGCGACACAACCAACCATCTCGGGTCTTAAATTTCCAAGCTCATTGAAACCTTTGGAAGAATCGACTTGCAATAATTTGCGTCTGCAAACGAGAAAATCAAAGCAATTAATCTCAATTATTATCAGATTTGTCAACTAAAGCTGCAAGTTGTGCTATTATTCAATATGGACATATCCAAGTAATAAGCTAAAAAATTCTGCCTTCAAAATTGTTTTAATTCAACTGTTTCACTGATTGATGCACATTTTGAGATACCTTTAAAAGAAAAACAAATAAAAATGAACTCATGAATGGTAATAATATTAACTGGTATGATTGAATAGAAAGACTTGACAAAAAGAAAGTTGAAAAATGAAAAAAGTGAGAAAATATTTTCATTTCAATGAAAATAAAAGATTGAATTAACAATGAATCTCACTCAAAAAATTCTTGAGCTGCTGTTGACAAGGTATTTGATGGTATCAGGTTGGTACAGTTTTCACAGTTTATAATCTTATTGACGGCAAAACAATTCTCAGTGTTCCATTCGTTATCACAATGCTGCCACGGAAGTAAATCTCCTGAATAAGAAAAAATAACAAGGATTATTCAGATATAGAATAGACACAAACGGCTTAAGAAATGAAACAAACCTGAAGTAATCGTTGTAATGATGTAATATATTGTCCAACCAATGATTACATTATAATAAAATGAAACATACCACGAGATTAGAACAGCACAGTAACCAACACCTTTAGCTGCCGGATACATTTTATCCCAAATACTTATGGGACCTGATCTAGCAAATTGTCCCAAAGATAGTTCCAGGAAAAAGAGAGGCAAGGCTCCAAAAATTAACATCAGAGTATATGGGATTAAAAAGACTCCTAGAGAAAGAAATCAAATGTTCAGCTTAATAAATATCATAATCAAATACAACTCAACATATTAGAGGAGTTGTGTAGCTAATCCGACTTTTTGAACGTTTGGCTGCAAAAAGAGCTGAGAATACAATGGTCGGCTGATTGTATTTTCAAGATTTGAACAGATTGATTATCTGGTCTGTTTCAGACATTATAATAAATCTATTGAATAATATTAATAATAAACTTGTTAGGCTATATAAAGACACTTACCTCCTCCATTTTTGTAGCATAAATAAGGAAAACGCCAAACATTGGCAAGATCAACAGCAAATCCAATAATGGATAATAAAAAGTCAATCTTTTTATCCCATTCACCTCGTTCATTAATCCTTTCTTGTGAGGAACAGATATCCACCTTTGTACACTCATTTTCACCATAATATTGACACTTTCCATTTGAAATTTGTGAAAAATTAAATAACTTTGTAGTTATTTTTCTCAAATTGAACGATCCTTGAGAAGGTTCAATAGAAACACTTTGCTCACTTGAATCATCATCATCCATGGCTTTGTCATAAAGTTAAACTTGCATTCACTTTTGTCCACTAAACACCACACTTATCATCACTTGTGGATTGCACCAATCAACAGTCCAATAAGCACCAGTTTTAAACAAAATAAACCCAAATAAACCTAAATAAACCTAAATAAAGGCAACTTAACAATCCAAATTAACATAATTTGCACTTTTTTCCAAGTTTAAGTTAAACTTTTAAGCTTTCAATTTTTCAACCCTCAACTCTATCTGTTGATAAGCCAAAACCTGTGGTGTTTGCTGAACAGTTAGCACAACAATTTGATAATCGCGCAGGTCTATGTAACCAGCAATATGTTTGATGATGAAAATGAATGAATAGGAAAAATTATTGGCAAAGATGTACTTAGATGAAAACAAAAAAGAGCAAGGTCAACCGGAAAACATTGAACCGCCAATAGATGGACTAGATCTGGACTCATTGTTAACCTGTAGAATATCAGTTTTCTTGGTGAAATAAATTGACTCAACAATTGATAAGATTTGATAAGATGAATAAGAGTTTCTGAAAGGCAAAATATTGTCATATAATACAACTCAAACCAAACAAGTATAGGAAATGAAAATAATAATAAAAAACTCCAAGATGTATTGTTAAAATCAGTTTACTCTCACTTTCATCTTTAATATCTATTAAACCATGATATATCCACATATTACATTCCTTAAATCAACTGACCTCAACACTCTATCAGTTATAGTGTAATGGTCAATGAAGCAAGTCAATTGGAAACAAAATATCCACTTTTTAACCCACAAATTTACAGCAAAAGCCTGACCAAGTTAATCTAAAGGCTTGTTAACAGTCACCAATCAAGTGTAAATGCATTCTGAAATTACAAGAAAAAGATTGATCAAAGTCAAATCCTGGTTTGATATTTCATGCAGCATTCATTTCAAACTCTGAAACTTCAACTTGAAATTTCCAGAGTCTCTGCAATCTCAAGTATAAGACTTGATTTTCAACTTGAAAATTGGACAATTGAGTTGAACTGATTATTTGGAATGATTTATTCCTTGAAATTGCTTCCTTTTCTGGTTAAGGATTACCAGATAATCTCGTGTGTTACTGGGAAGATGATGGTTTAATGATGAGCATAAATTGTAGACAAGTTATGAATAGTGTTCATCAACAAAATCAATATTTGATTAGATTACAATAATTGAAATTCTTTACCTTCCAATCCATTATTTCAACTTTTGTCAACTCTTTTTTTGTGTGTGTGTATGTGAGTTTGTGATATTTCCTTCCCTTAATCATATTCTGGTTCATCATTTTCAACATCACCTTCATCACCATCTTCATCATAACAATCATCTTTGCATCCTTTTCACCTTAACCTTCATCTTCCTTATACTTCATATTTAACCTGCAAAGCTAAAATATCTCAAGAATGTTCAACTTTATATATTATCTATCAACTCTTCTAATTCACCTTCACTTTGTCAAGTGACTAACAAGACTAACCATTATCATTATAAAAACGATAATATCATAATTGCTTAACATCATTTCATCTTTTATTCCCTGGAAAAAATCAGCTCAATATTTAAGGTTCCATTTGAACCAGGATTTCTTTCCGTTTCCTTGTAACTGTATTTCCAGATTGTTTGTATGGATCAACTATGAATCTACCACGATTACTGAATGTATATTAAACAAAGAGATTGGCACAATTAGTACAGCAAAATTTAAAATTAAACTTCGATTTACAATATAAATATGATCATGGTTTCCCTTGAATGTTGATATTCCTTCATTTTTAAATCAATAAAGTTAATCGTTAAATCGAGATTCATTAATTGCCACTGCTTAATGCAAAGGAAATTCCTTTGCTAAATCTACTAATGTACTAATGACTGTCGCTATTGAAGATTGATTTTCTCTGCGAAAACTGCTATTCTGAAGGGCTAGACAGTATGTTTGATTACAAGATTGATTAAATTAAATACCGTATGCTCGATATGCTAGAGCGGCAAGAAAACGACTCAAACTTTGCTATTGTTGATAAACTTGCAGAGTTAGTCTTGTGTCAATCGACACTATTTGCATGGACAAATTAAAACATGGATCAATAGAAACCAAGTGAATGATAACTTAGGGTCACTTTATTTCCATTAAAACATTTGGGTTGTAAATACACCAAAAACAACTTATTAAGCAAAAGAAGCTCTTCTCAACCCATTTCTTGCTAAATAAACCAACTTTCTGGTTTAGATTGCAGATGAGATACACAGAATGCTGTCAAAGGCTCGCAAATTTGATTAAAGAATTGAAACTTACGGGGTTAATAGAACAATTAAAACTGAATCCATTAGTGTTAATGAAAAGATCATCCGATTGATAGTTTAAGAGTAAATTGAGGTCAAAGTTGAAACTTCGATCGCTGTTTACTCAACTATGGAAATAGATTTTTTTATCAAACTCATTCTGGCGGCATAAATTTTAATGCGTAACCATATAATGATCTTATATTGTTGAATAAAATTTTCGTTTTCTGTAAAACAGACAAAGTTCGATTTTTACATAAACGTGTCGCATTCGGTGACCGAAAACTTTAGCGAGCTCAAACTCATTATCCGTCAATGAAAAACAATTGCTCACATCATGGGTCCAATAGTTTTTTCCATTCGAAGACAGTTCGCTTAATTTTGGCCATTGGACTAATAACTTTGGACCTAAATATTTCGAAGGTGGTATCACCTACAAGTGTCATCCTTCGACCCATCATTAGATCTCATCATATACTATGATATACCGAAACATTAAATTAATTAAGATTCTGCAAATAAAGTTACAGCATTTGATTTTTCATGTTGTCAGATTTGAGACTTTGTTTATAAAGTTGATGGACACTCAAACACAAATCTAATGATTTTCATGATTAAATGGATTAGCTAGGATTTTATTGCGTGCTCAGTTATATCATCTTATAGTTCATGATGAGATCTAATGATGGGTCGAAGAATGATACTTGTAGATGATATCATCCTCGAAATATTTAGGTCCAAAGTTATTAGTCCAAAGGCCAAAATTAAGCGAACTGTCTTCGAATGAAAAAAACTATTAGACCCATGATGTGAGCAATTGTTTTTTATTGACGGATAATGAGTTTGAGCTCGCTAAAGTTTTCGGTCACCGAATGCGACACGTTTATGTAAAAATCGAACTTTGTCTGTTTTACAGAAAACGAAAATTTTATTCAACAATATAAGATCATTTTATGGTTACGCATTAAAATTTATGCCGCCAGAATGAGTTTGATTAAAAAATATATTTCCATAGTTGAGTAAACAGCGATCGAAGTTTCAACTTTGACCTCAATTTACTCTTAAACTATCAATCGGATGATCTTTTCGATAACACTAATGGATTCAGTTTTAATTGTTCTACAAACCTCGTAAGTTTCAATTCTTTAATCAAATTTTCGAGCCTTTGACAGCATTCTGTGTATCTCATCTGCAATCTAAACCAGAAAGTTGGTTTATTTAGCAAGAAATGGGTTGAGAAGAGCTTCTTTTGCTTAATAAGTTGTTTTTGGTGTGTTTACAACCCAAAAATGGCCAACCCAAATGTTTTAATGGAAATAAAGTGACCCTGAATTATCATGCGCTGGGTTTCTATTGATCTATCGTTCAATTTGTCCATGCAAATAGTGTCGATTGACACAAGACTAACTCTGCAAGTCTATCAACAATAGCAAAGTTTGAGTCGTTTTCTTGCCGCTCTTTTATATCGACTCAGTCCTATGGCCACACAATCTTAAAGAGTCTAAACTACAAAATAACCATTTTTACTCCTTTTTGCCTGTCTGTTTCGATTCGTGTGTAAACTTGACGATTGTCCTTTTAGTATCAGCTTAAAATATGTGAGCAAATTTCAAACACTTTTGATTCGACCTTTTAAAACCTTTTCTCAACATAAAGCCCATTTACGCATAACGTTAGTATAATTTATGGACCTTTCCTGAATGTGATCATGATTGATATATTTTCGTATGTATCCCAAGTATTATCCCAAGTTGTAAGGGATACTTCTAGCTAATATCTCGAGAAATAGCTTCGATGGCAGATTGAGTTTTCGAAACTAATTGAAGCTATTAATAAATAATTAACAGCCAAATCTAAATCGTTCATAAGCCATTAATCATTGCTGAACATCACTGATGTTGGGACTTCACCCAAATCTGGCAAACCTATTTCTGTGCTGTTTCGATCTGTTTAATTAATCTACAATTAGTGCTGAATTGCTGATGATTGTGCCATAGTTACTGTCTAATCTATTCATTTAGGATGATTTACAACTGTTAATTCAGCAATCATCTACAAAATTAGATGGGATCAACACTAAATTATTATTTGACTAATTTTTATTCTCAAATTGAGTGTAAACATTTTAATCGTTGAAATTGATAATAAATTAGTCTGTTTCAACAGCTTCTGATCGTTAATCGTAATCATCTAATATTAATGTACTACTTGCAATGTGTATGGATCAGTATTAATTAGGTTAAATATATTATTCAACCATATCTTACTGAACAGAAAATTAAGAAATGATAAACTGATTTATTAATTTTTATTTGTCATTTGATTGCAACAATGAATTTTCAATCGACCTTCAACCACAATCATCATCATATAATTAATGTATTGTTATAATTAACTCTAAATTATCAATATTTTCCTCTAAAAGTCATGCAAACATTGAAAATATTTTAGGCCTTACATTTAAAATGAACAACTTTCATAAATTAGGAGTCTAATTGTACCCAATTTCAGTAGCTACGGTTTTAATTACACTTTCAATGGACATCGCAGTTGAAAATTTATAAATTAATATAATAGTGATTGACTAAATCGCGATTTTATTAAAAAAATGAAGTTAAAAACAATAAAGATTTATAAAAACAATAAACTTTATGTGTGACCATTTCAATTTTCATCAACCTTGGAACATAATTATCTTCAACTTTTGCATTGTTTTCATCACCAATAATATTCAAACTTGAAATTTCCAATTGAGTTAATTGATAGTTTCTGGTAAACTTAATGATCATTTTCATACCTAATACCTAATACTTAATATCGTAATAAACCAAACCCGAAACATCTAGTGTATATAAACTCGATGCAATAGCAATCAAAAGTCACAGTTGACACTTTCAGCTTTACCAAGCAACATCAAGTCACTTTTTAAATCATATTCAATAAGTTTGGAAAACTCAGCTCGACTTAACTCCATTCCATCATGAAATCCATTGTAAGTATTTGAATCAATCCAATGAAACAATTTGATTACAATTTCACTTTTCTACAGATCTTCGGTTTGGCTGTTTTCGTCTTGTTTGCAATGGTATATCCAAGTGAATCCACTTATGGTTGGGGCTATGGAGGTTATGGTGGTTACGGAGGTTACGGAGGCTACGGTATGTACAAATATTGGCCTTCTTATTACAGTGGTTGGAACCACGGTTGGGGACATGGCTGGGGAAATGGTTGGGGCCATGGATATCATCGATACAAGTATGGCCACTACTACCCTTACTCATCCTGGAAATACTATGATTGGGATGGTCTTTGGGATGGATATTATTACAAAAAATGAAGTAAATAAATTGCTCTACCAGATGTAAGATTAATCTACATACACTGATTTATATTTTTGATACCTTTACAAATAAAATGTTGATATTATGATAAATGAGATTGAATTTTATTTCCCTTGAATTGGAGTAAATTATCAAATTTTGCTTTGCAATAAGTGAATGTTTTTAGCGCGATCTTTGTTTTGCTCCTTTCAAAATTTAGAAAACAATATTTCAAGATTATAAGATTAAAAATTACTGTTGAAATGATTAGTTTATATTTTTTAATTATCGGATAATTTTCTATTAATTTTGTTCACTACATTAACCACTTTTTGTAATAATGTTGTACATTTGAAATGTAAGGTTGAAAATACCGCTTAAAGTTTGTCTGCATGTTTACCTATTTCTCCACCCAAATTTAGTCAAACAACACGCTTTTTTGTCTTGATCATTTAAATTTTATGCATCTTTAGTCAGTCTGTTTCTTTATTAATTTGGATTTTTTGAGTGTCTTGTGAGATTAATCAACATTCAGTCTTCAACTTTATTCTATCCAGTATTATTAAGAAATTGTGATGGCAGATAAAGATAAACCCAAAGGAAAATCTCTTACCAATGAACAGATCTTAGCTGGTTTTAATCAATTGAGGCAAGCTCAAAGGAGTATCAACAATAAAATTATCGAATTAGAAAATGACCTGAATGAACATGTGTAAGTTATATGTTATATAATTGTGGATAAAATTGCTCATATATTTCTACTCTATTTGTGTCCCTTTACAGTTTAGTCATTGACGCTCTGAAAGCAGTCGATCAAGATCGTAAATGTTTTCGTTCCATTGGAGGTGTTTTGGTTGAAAGAAATGTGAAAGAAATTCTTCCATCTGTGATAGAAAACAAAGAAATGGTAATATATTTCAAATCTTAATCTATTATCAAATCTAATTTTCTGTGATTTAACACCAGAGCTGTGAAATACTCCGATTTCATCTAAAGTGACCTTTTCTTGACATGAAAAATTCAAGAAAACTAATGTTTATTTGTATGAACTAAACCTTTTATTTATATCACTCTTTTATAGATTGCTAAGACAATAGAAGCACTGAAATCTAAGGTAGTCGAAAAAGGACAAGAAATCAACGATTACATGGACAAGCATAATATTAAAATAAGACAAGAACCTTATGACAAGGGAGAAAATCCACAGGAAAGTAAACCTGGTACTCAAGCCTCCTCATCTGGTATATTAGTAGCCGATTCCTCGTCGGTGGCGAATCCTTCATCGTCATGAGTCACAAAACTGTCTCAATAAATTTCCAGGATTGTTTTTTATTTCCGCGATTTGCTTACTTATTCATATTGCAAAACATGAGATACACAAAATATCTAATATCTAACAATTAAACTAAATTGAAGTATATTCAGCCCAACAAATATATTTCATTGAATGGATAACGTTAGGCAAATGATTATATTATGTATTCAACAGAAAGTTGAGGTCTATAACACTACTGAAGCAAAGAATATGCACCATTAATAATTTACTTATAAGATATGAAATTTAATTTACTTGTTCTACTATTTACATAAATTTTCGTGATAGATGGAGTGTCAAAATACAGAAATTGTTAGGCCAGAAAGATTACAATTGGATATGTATCTACAAATATTTGGATAATTTCCTCCTTTTTAAATTTTTCAATATACTCTTAATATTTCCATTTACATTTTGAATGCTGCTATTTGTGCGAACAGATGTTTCCAAAGCATGTAGCATATCTACGTCAGGTGAAAAACAAACAAAAGTTGTAACGGTACAATTTTGCCGAGATCCAATTCTGCCCGTTCTTCCAGCTCTATGGAGATAATCGGATACATGGTGAGGCGAATCATAATTAACAACGTCACTAACCTAGAGTTGAAAATAAAGATGAAAATAAAAAGTTTAAAATTTGCTAAACTGAATAACTAATGAAATAGAGGTACTCTTACGTTTTTGAAATCTATCCCCCTTGAGGCTAGATCGGTGGCACACAAGACATTAGTCTCTCCCTGTTGAAACTTTTGTAATTGACTAATCCTTTCATTTTCATCCATTCGTCTATGTAAATGAGATGATGGGAAGCCACTTTGGTTCAAATGGTTGTACATCCATTCGCAACTTGAACGCTTTCGATTGAAAATAATAATCCTCTTCTTGTTTTGCAACTTGTAACCAACTAATTCTAATAACTTATTTGGGCGGTCATATTTATGTAATCTGAGAAATACGTGTTTAACATGGGGCATCAATCGATGAAGATATTGCGTTTCGGTCCAAGAAAATGAGTTAAAATCTACATAGCCTCCAATTATTTCTTCTATTTCCTGGGGAATAGTTGCACTAACAAGGCAAAGCTGTGTTCCAAATCGGTTTTCTGATGATTTAAACTGTAAAGATGATTGAAATAATTATTAATGGTTTTAAAATGACCACATTTAAGCAAAAAATATCTTACCCTTAAGTCAGATAATAAATTACCGATTCCATAACTGAAAGTGTCATCTAATAAAGTATCAGCCTCATCAAGCACCAAAGTTTTCACTTTATTTAAAGAGTAAACTCCTAAAAAAAGAATTGTTAGAAAAATGAATAATCCTAAGGTTAGATGTAACCTTACCTCGTTTAGTGTGTTCCCCGATCAATCCTAAAGTGGTAATAATTACATCATACCCTGTGTGAGATAGCGCTGTAGGTGCACCACCAACAATCGGAGCTACACCAACTCCGATTAAAGATCCGAAAGAACGAGCTTGGATACCAATCTGGTGAACTAATTCTCGCGATGGAAGGACAATTATTGCGTTGGGATGACGCTCTATTACATCGCCTCTAGCTTTTGCCAGTGAAATTTTTTCCATAATCGGACTCAAGTAAGCAAGTGTTTTGCCCGATCCGGTTTCAGCACAACAAACGACATTCAATCCTTTTAAAATTTCTGGTATAGTTCTAAGTTGGCACTGTGTTGGCTTGAAATATCCCATATTGTTGATTGCACTGATGATATTATCATTAAGTCCAGCAGCTTTGAAAGTATAATCAAACCGCTCAGCTTCCTCGAAATGAGGATTTGCAGCATGAGGATGTATTGTTATGACATCACCTTTATATTTACCACTTTTCCAGCTTTGTGAAGCTAAAGGGATTTTCTTATCTTTAGGATATTTTTGATATAAATAATGATTAAGCTTTGGTGAGAGTTTACAGGTTACCACTGGTTTAGATCTATCACCACATGTCTTTAAATAATTGGCTCTTTCCTCCAGTATTTGTTTCTTCCTTCGTTCATGTCTTTTAACTTGTGATTCCAAATATTTGGGAACAGTAATGACCGGGATAGTATCGACGTTGTGCATTAAACGTTTGCATTGAGAAACAGTGAGTATAGAATGACATTTTGGAGTAAAAACTGCGAACATTTTATTAGATTATTACAAGTTAAACTTCAAAACAAATCAATAACAGTTAAATTAATAAACAGTGTTTAGTAAACACATGTTTTTATTTTGCTTATTTAGCGCCATCTATAGAGAATCAGTTGGATCCCGATACAATTTGTTGTTCATTTAGATCAAAAGATGATTGAATTGATGGAAATGGATTAACATTTTAATTTCTTAATGGATCGGCTAATTACTTCAGTGATATAGGTATTTGATGTAGGTATGTGACTTCAAAAAATTATCAAACATCTAATATGGCCCTCTCAAATCGTCTCAAATTGTCAGAGTCAAGGTAAGAAATAAACAATTTAGTTGAATTCAGTTTTTTTATCAAGTAAGTTTTATTTTTAATTCGCAATATTATATGAGTTGTCTGATTTAACAAAAAATACCAAAATTAAATTACAAATTAATTTTTTTTGCAAGATAACATCCGTTAAAAGACTGTTTAACATAAATACTAGAAAAATAACCAAATTCTGGTCTCACAAATTCAGGTCTGGTTTGCCAGTAACACCATTTAAAAATATTCAGTGTTTCAATATGTTGAGTAGATTTAGTTATCTTGTAACGCAGATAAATCCATGATCTATCATTTTTATTGCATTGAAACTACCATCTTTATCAAAGATATATCATTATTTATTGATAGTCATGTGAGATCAGTCAAGTAAAAGATCAAAGTTCTGTTTACAATAAGACAAGCCAAAAATCCAAAAGTTTTGCTAATGGATCAGATTATTTGATGTTATTGAATTTTGAATGGCAGTTATAATTATATTTTTACAGTCCAAAGAAGCGCCAGCTCTGAATGCATTGATTATATTGACCATGTTATCTCGTAACTTTTGAATCTCTTCAATTTTGACCATCAATCTGTATAGATTGTCTGAAGCATCACTAGGTGATTCACAAACTGATTCAAGATATCGTCCAAGTAGATAAATATAAGCATATTGTTCCATTCTAGAGATAATAAAAAAGAAAGAGTTACTTAGATTTTGATTGAAAAAAACATATTATAATAAACTATTAATGGTTACAAATCGGTTAGACATTTACCTAATAGCATCAGCATATTTCAAATCAGGTAGATCAGGGTTGAAGATAACAATTAGATAAATGACAGCAATAGCTTTAAGATCATTTCGCCATCGATCCGGAAAGGTTTCAATAACATGATTCAATCCATCGTGTAAATCTGGGTCCAGATGAAAAACCTTTACCCTGTCAAGTCTTTTCCCAGAATACTGAAAATAAAAGATTGGTTGAAATGATAAGTATTAGATTGACAGAGCAAAGCGAACCAAACTTCAACCCAAATATTACATGATATTAGGCAAATGTATGTGACTCAAAACATTCAATACAATAAGCGAATAAAAATTGTGTCCATATTTTCATGAAATTGTTTCTTGTTAAATAGGAGTTTTTGGTTAACAAAATGGATTAACAACAATCATCTGTGATAACTGTTGGATGATAATGCCGAACCTCAAAAAGTCAAAGTGTTTCTTGCCTTTCATTTGGTTAGGACTCTGAGTAATCTTAATACTCACCTCAAAACTATCGGTGCGATGGTCAAATGTGATTATACTTTTCATTGCATGAATATCAAAAAACACATTGGATAATAAGGTGATTTTATCGTCCGCATGTAATTTCCTGTAAGCACGAACTTTTTCACAGTTTCTAACAAATGATTTTGAACACGAATATTGTTTTATCAGATTTCGACGTGGAGCTGGCCCATTACGTGAAGCAATAAAGCGAAAGGCATTAACAGCTTCTATTAACGCAAGTGATTCAAATTCATCCAAAGATATTCGGTTGGACAAAAATTCTGATTTAATATTGATTGGAGTGTAATAAGTGGCCAGTATCTTCTTTCCTACACTGGAGATCCATGGTTCCTTCAATTCTGAGTTGTCAACATTCAATGAAAGTATCTTTTTGAATTCCCTGTTATTAATCTCAGGACTAGATGACTGTTGGTTATGGTTGCCACAATTGTTGGAAGGTCCTGTTGTTTCAGTCTGATCACAAGATTCACATGTTGATGCTGAAGGTAACTCCGATGGAAAACAAAATTTAAAAAGATCCGTTGAGGAGATGAATGATGAAGTCGATGAAGATTCAAGCAAATCACCTGTTAAGCTAGCTGAAAAATCACTAATCCAATCTGATGAGGTAAATGAAAAGGTTTCTGGTTGACTTGGATCTTTGTTTGTTTCACTGTTTGAAATGCACCCCATTAATGGGTCGTTGTTAATTATATCATCTATTAAATGATCACTGGAAGAGTCGATTAAACAAGATCGAAGAGTATCATCATCATAAGAGAAAACATCAAATTTTGCTGAAGTCGAATGAGATATCAATGAAGTAACTGGTTCTTGACAATCCATAAGATGATCCGTTGGTTTCGCCAAGTAGGATTCATCATGAACAAGTTCATCCAAGTCCAAAAATTCCATTTTATTGTTTGAATTTGAGTAAACAAACTAACATGTAGTTACAAAACATAAGGATACAAGCGTTTGATAACTTGGTACATATTAAGCACTCAAATGATGATGTATACTTTGACGCTGCAATTGAAGATAATGCGACTACAAGTTGAGTTAATTATCTTCTTAATTCATCTTTTATCTTTATTGAACTGTTCTGCTCTTTAAAAAGGAAGAAGGAAAAGCTCCTCTAGCTTTTGCCAGTGAAATTTTTTCCATAATCGGACTCAAGTAAGCAAGTGTCTTGCCCGATCCGGTTTCAGCACAACAAACGACATTCAATCCTTTTAAAATTTCTGGTATGGCTCTAAGTTGGCACTGCGTTGGCTTGAAATATCCAATATTGTTGATTGCACTGATGGTATTTTTATTGAGTCCAACTGCTTACACAGGTTACCACTGGTTTAGATCTATCACCACATGTCTTTAAATAATTGGCCCTTTCCTCCAGTATTTGTTTCTTCCTTCGTTCATGTCTTTTAACTTGTGATTCCAAATATTTGGGAACAGTAATGACCGGAATTGTATCGAGGTTGTGCATTAACCGTTTGCATTGAAAAACTGTGAGTATAGAATGGCATTTTGGAGTAAAAACTGCGAAAATTTTATAAGACGATTACCAGTTTAACTTTAAAACAGATCAATAACAGTTACACCATTTAAGACTCAAATATTCAGTGCTTCAATATGTTGAGTAGATTTAGTTATCCTTTAACTCTATGATCTCCCATTTTTATTGCATTGAAACTACCATCTTCATCAAAGATTATCAATCATTTATTGTTAATCATCAGTCAAGTAAAAGATCAAAGTTCTGTTCACAAGACAAGCCAAAAATCCAAAGGTTCTGCTGATGGATCAGATTTTTTGATGAAAATTAGTGCTATACTTCCGAAAACGTGTGATTCGCAAATCGAAGTACTTTCTCATATTTCTGAGTCGCATTTTCTCATTTTGCAAGTATTACTTCTGTTAGTGAACTCACAACTGAAGGTTATCTCGTGCTGAAGGCAATCTCATATCTATTAATTGCTCGAATTGGTATTTTTGTGAAATTGATGAATTTTCAGCACGAAAATTTCTTCATTAGCTATATCAATCTCATAAATGCGACACGAATATTATCATTAATCACTAAATTTCTCAATAATCTAGTCGAGATTATTTTGTTTTGTTTGTCATTGATGTGTCGCAGTCAATTATTATTGAGCCACAGTAATTATAATTATAATCTGCTTAATAGCATAGTGTTTTGAATTACAAGAGATCAATTGAAATGAGACAATAATCTTATCTTATTATTTCCCATTTGAATTGTATTTAGGACCGAACCCTCCACCTTTATCTTCACACATTTATCAATGAAATATGGTTAAATTGAGTTTCATTGCTTTTAAAATTAACCAATCATCTTCATGAAAGGCTCATGGAAACAATGTTATCCAGATAGCCTTCTCTGATACACCTGATTGCGGATTAAATAAAGAATGAGAAGCGATAAAATTAAATTCATTTTGAATAGTTGAATAGTAGTATTGTTCAGTTTGATTTCACACCACTTTTATTCTGGTGATACATTAGTGACTTGAATTCATCATCAAACTAACCAGTGATACAAGTTAATCAAAGATGACCTCTTATCGTTTTCTAGTGACAGCAATCGATGCGTAAGTATCTCAAGTAATACTCAAAATTTTAAATAATCAATATACTGTTAAACCTCTAATAATTTCAGTTCATCGGATAAGCAATTCGACTATTTTTCTGATATTTAGGTGTCATAGCCTTTTTACTAATTTTATTTTCCAAAAATTTAATTTTGGTATTTTTTTGTTCAATTAGACAATTCATAGAGTTTTCTCAAAATTTATTTGGTCAAAAAACTGAATCAAAGTAAATTGTTTATTTTATTACCATGACTCTGTGGCAATTTGAGGCTGGGTGATTTGGGTGATATTAGGTATGGATTAACCTGAGCGATGAGATTGCTTAACCTGCATCTGTTTTACCTTGCATCTCGGGGTTATCGTTTGAGTAACTCTTTTCGCTGGAGTTCAACCTAATCAGCCTTATTTATAATTCAAGAAATTAAGTCTGTTGGTATTAAGTTAATCAAAAAAGTACAATCTTTATTTCCCAAGGCTATTTTTTAATACATAGTATCATTGCTAATGACCGTTATTTTTTCTTTGGATTCATCCCCACTATATCTTAGAGACCTTTTATCACTTTTTCAAAATTTCAATTTCAACTTATATTAGTATTTACATACTTGAGCAGTTTCACCAAAGGAGTATAGAATCTAATAATAATTTTTATTTTATTTTTTTATTTTTCAGTTTAGGGCATATCAATGCAGCTTTAGGGTTTGCTGAAGGTTTAAAGGCTGCTGGACATGAAGTTTATTTTGCTCATCGTGAAAAACACAGACATTTAGCGGTCAAGAGAGGATTTTCATTCATTCCGTTTGATAGCCAATTGGGTGAAACAGCTTTGGAGGACGCAATTTTCCAATGGATTGATGCATTTGCGGATAAATTTAGACAAGAACCGTTGAAACGTTGTAAAGAAATGACTTTAGAAGAACAAGAAGCCTTCAGAGCTCAGGCTGAATTTTTTGCCGCATTGAACGCTGCCTTGGATAGAATAGTTTCAAATGAAAACAATAAATTTGATGGTATTGTTTCTGATTTGCCAGCTCCATATCCATTCCTGTACAAGCATTCAATTCCGTGGTTTCCACTTGCATCATTGAATCCATTGATATTGTATCCAAAAGGACCTCCACCATTTTCTGGTTACTCAGTAAACAGTGATCCATCTAATTGGGATGAATTTAGAGAAGCCTATCAACGAGCTCATTCAAAATTAACTGAAGTCACTAATGAAAATTTGACTGCTGCTGGCCTTGATCATATCAAATTCAATCCAGCGAGGTTCGTTGACAATCCTCAGACCGTTGGATTTTATCATTACCCAGCTGACTTGGATTACACTGAATGTGAACCAAAAGATCCTAATTGGCATCGTGTTGATGCCTGGGTTCGTCAACCAGATTTTGATACTGAATTTGTTATCCCAGAAAAGTTACAAGATAAACCAGGAAAAGTAATTTACTTTTCATTGGGATCATTAGGGTCCGCTGATTTGGTTATAATGAAGAAGTTGATTGCTATTCTAGCCAAATCACCACATAAATTTATCATATCAAAAGGACCACGAGGTGATGCACTAGAATTGGCCGACAACATGTGGGGTGAAAATTATGTTAACCAAATTAAGGTTATTCAAGGAGTCGATCTAGTCATAACTCATGGAGGGAACAATACTTTTATGGAAACACTTTATTATGGGAAACCAATGATTGTCATTCCCTATTTTTATGATCAATTTGATAATGCTCAGAGAGTTGTTGACAAAAACATCGGCTTTCGCATCAATCCGTACGAACTTGATGAAGATTATCTTCTTGATTGCATTGAGAAGATATTTGAGGACAAAGAAATGCAAGATCGAGTTAAAGCCATTTCACATAACATGAGAAATTCAAATAGTTTATCTGAAGCCGTCAAATTGATTGAAAAACAAATTGGACAAAGGGGAACTACGTTGTAAAAGTTTATACATTGTATTATATTTTTACAATTTTTATGTTGATTAAAAATTTTTAGGATGAAATAACTCGTAACTCTTATAGAATTTCAGGAATCCGGTTGATCTTTATATCGCTTTCATATCTTATTTAGTGAATGCCATTTTTAAATTATGTTCATAGTATATGGGTTGAATCGGTGAAAATTTGATTCAGTTTGCTCGGGAACAGGACATTTCGTAGCAGCTTGTTGTAGGTTTGTTGGTGAATCAGAATTAATTTGAGTTTGCAAATGCTTTGATGCAATAAGGAATTGATAGCAAAAAATTCATGAATTACAATGTAAGCTTACAATTGTCACCTAAACCAAACTTTTCTATCAGATAGTGTTAGTTTGAGATTTTTGGTCAACGGATTGAAAAGTTATAAGTTCAAAGTGGAAATATTTCGTTTCAATACGTGCTTCTTATCTTTGCATTAGGACTCAGCAAAATACAAAACAGATTATTAAAAATTGTGACCACTACAATATATAAATGCAGCATTTGTCTGACAACCTAAGTAATACCATGATATAACTTTTCTTAAACTTGATCTTGAGTGATCTTGTACTTCCATACATGTGTAACCTGTGATGAGAAAAGTTGGGTCTAATTATCTATTCAATTCTCTTCATAAGATTTTTCTTTGGAAATGGATTAAGAAAGGTTTAAGATAAATGCTGATATATTTTATCCTAGGTGCTAACAAAGCTTAACCTAATTTTAGGATTTAATAACATGAAGCTTAGAGCATAAGTATTGGAAAAATTAATTTGAATTATGAATTATGACGATTTGACTGTATCAGGGTCTTGAGTACTTTGAAATATACAGTATACAGTTTGTATTTGAATAGAAACTTCTAAGTTAAGATTTCTTTATTAACCAGTTAATTGCCAATTTTTAGATGATCGCATTGAAAAAATACAGCAGAGTCATAAATAAAGCTCAAATTTTACTGAAATGGATTCTGAATATCTCATAATGGGAACAAGATACAACAATTAGATTAATCTTCAGTAAATAAACCATGAAACTAAACCATGATCATTGAGGGATCTTTTATTTCGAAGCTAAAACTTGTTCAATTCCTAATACCTTAGCACTAACAATGTAAGCTTTTTAATTGGTATTCTTTCCTGTTCAACCCAATGTAGCTAAATTTTCTCCATTTGTTTTTTTAGGTAAAAGTTTAAATTGTTGATTTTGACATTGCATGAAATAAGACAATTAACCCAAATACTGATTTGAAGTTTGAAAATTTTATTTGTCTAAACTAAACTTCAATACTGAAGAAAATTTGGATCTCTAGCTGCAAGGATCAACGAGAAAAACGATTGGACCATTGTATCTAAAACTCCTCATTCGTTAAAGCGCATGATAAAATAACATGATTAGTGGAAAAATGATGCTTATAAGTGCTATTAATCATCCAGTTTCAAAGTTGTGGGATCACTAAAATGAAAAACCAATCATTTTGAAATCAATAGAATGATTGATAAATTGAGAAAAATGTTCAATTTTGTTATTCACTAACCCTTTCTGACAGTAAATTATTAATTGAATGGTTTATAAGTTTCTCTTTATCTGGTTTCGCTGCTTTATTTAACCAAATATCAAAGCCATCTGTTGTAAAGTCGGGAAAAGTGTATTTCCATTAAAATCTTATCAGGAAAATTAGTTTGATGATAAATCTGGTTCCATAACTGTACAAAAAGACAACGAAGTTGGAACTTTGAACGATCAAAAATTGTTGATACGACAATTTTTTCACTGTTCAAATTGACTCTATTTTCATGTTTTACAAACTCACCGAGTCTTAACACATTACTCGAAGTCAAAGTTTTTGACTTATTCTTTTAATAAACGAACACATTTTTCAATTGGTGTATCGACATATAACATGAAATAACTTTTTTATTTCAAGATCATGTTCAAGTGCTTCAGATTGCATAATATTTTAAAAGCAATAAAAGTGTGCAATTCATCCATTGGCATTGGAGTGCATTGCGAATAGCAATATTGCATTATCGATGAGAATTTCAGAAATTTATCTTGCAGATGATAATATTCAGTCTACATGCACTGAAAACAAACAAGTGAAAGCTATCATATCCATAATTCTGTTTCAGCAAATCTATTTAAAACCATTATGAAACACTCATTATTCATTGTAAGTATTCAGAGACGGAAATATTTCGTTTAGCAGCGTGCTTCTTATTTCATGTGTGATTATTCAGTCTCCATGTACTGAAACAAACAAATGAAAGCTATCATATCAATCATCTGATTCCAGCTAATCTGTTTGTGAATCATTGAGCTGCCCTATTTATATTTCGATCAATTATGTTTTACGCTCATAATTTTATTCGAGCTTCAATACACAACTTCAACTGACTCGCCTGACTTCAATTCAAAAATCAGTTCAAGATGCCATCATATCGTTTCTTGGTGACAGCCATTGATGCGTAAGTAATTTATTGATATTTATTAATTTGTGTTGATTAATCCTTTCTGATGTGACTTCTGATTGTCACTTCATGTCTCGTTTATTCAAAGGCAACTTTGCTAACACCATTTCATGTATTGATTGTGTTGATAGTTGACTAGTTAAATCTTTTTGAATAAGCTTCTGAAAATTACATTATTATTGTCTTCATAGAGTTTATTTACCTTATTTGACCATAACTTGAATTTTTGAGGATTTATTTACCTTTTTCGCTTTTATGTTCCGAATGAATTTTTTTGAGCTACTATGATATTTCTGCGAGCTTCACCCATGTTAATCAATACAAATAGGAACCTGGTTTTTTGTCTTTTGAATCGAAACACGTATTTAGTTTTAATCCGTGATAATAAATACGTAACTAATTTGCGTTTGATTTTCCGCTTTTTTCAGTTATGGACATATCAATGCCGCTTTAGGGTTTGCTGAAGGTTTAAAGGCTGCTGGACATGAAGTTTATTTTGCTCATCATGAAAAACACAGACATTTAGCGGTTAAAAGAGGATTTTCATTCATTCCGTTTCCTAAAACATTGAGTGTAGCAGATATGGGACAAGCAATGAACTATTGGATTGCTTTGTGTGGAGATGAAATTCGTCAGGAACCATTGAAACGTTACCTTACAATGTCTGTATTTGAACGAGAATCTCTGGCAGGTTCAGTTCTTTACTTCACTCCATTGAATAACGCCTTGAATGATATTGTCAATGATGAAAACTATAAATTTGATGGAATTGTTGGTGATCTGACAGCTCCATTCCCTTTTCTGTACAAGAATTCAATTCCTTGGTTTCCACTCACATCGCTAAATCCATTGGTATTGTATCCAAAAGGACCTCCGCCGTCATCTGGTTACTCAGTAAACAGTGATCCATCTAATTGGGATGAATTTAGAGAGGCTTATGCAAAAGCTCATGCAAAGATAACTGAGGCTACTAATGCCTGCTTGGATGCTGCCGGTCTTCCAAACGTAAGATACAATTCAGCGAGGTTCGTTGACAATCCTCAGACCGTTGGATTTTATCATTACCCAGCTGACTTGGATTATACTGAATGTGAACCAAAAGAACCCAATTGGCATCGTGTTGATGCCTGGGTTCGTCAACCAGATTTGGATACTGAATTTGTTATCCCAGAAAAGTTACAAGATAAACCAGGAAAAGTAATTTACTTTTCATTGGGATCAATAGGATCTGCCGATTTGGTTATAATGAAAAAGTTGATTGCTATTCTAGCCAAATCACCGCATAAATTTATTATATCAAAAGGACCAAGAGGCGATGAACTTGAATTGGCTGACAACATGTGGGGTGAAAATTATGTCAACCAGGTCGCGGTTGTTCAAAAAGCTGATCTGGTTATAACTCATGGAGGGAACAATACTTTTATGGAAACACTTTATTATGGAAAACCAATGATTGTCATTCCTTATTTTTATGATCAATTTGATAATGCACAAAGAGTGATCGACAAAAAAATTGGCTTTCGTCTCAATCCATATCAAATTGACGAAGATTATCTTCTTGATTGCATTGAGAAGATATTCAACGACAAGGAAATGCTAGATCGAGTTAAAGCCATTTCGCATAACATGAGAACTTCAAACAGCTTTTCTGAAGCGATCAAAATGATTGAAAAACATATTGAACAAAGTAAAAGTAAATTGTAAATGTAATTTATTGTTTTATAAGTTTCCAATTAGCCCTCTGTCTAAAAATTTTCAGATGAATCATGAAAAAAAATCACGAAAAATTATTCTTTAAATACACCATTAATAGCGCATCTTGGGCATCTGCTGATAATGAGTTCAAGAAATTGAGATTATTACCTATAGGCAAAAAGTTTGAAACAAATATACAAATCATGTTTAAATCTTTTTCTTGGTACGCCAATTAATCTACAGAATAAAAATCAATTACAAAATTCAACTTCAATCACCGCAGAAGGGTGCCGCAAAACGTAAACCTCTAATCTTTGTACCTTTTTTTTATGTTTTGACCGTTCTCTTTTCCTTTTTCTTTTCTCATTTTAAAACTTAATAAAGAGGTGTTCTTATACTTATATTTACGTTCACTTTTATTTAACCCGAAACCCCCGTCCTTTAAGGTTTTAAAATGGAGGTTCCACCGAGAGCTTATAACCTGTTAATGATCCTACGGGAAAGAGTCTAATACTCACTTAACAGACTCAGGTTACTTAAATTAAGACATCACTATAACAGTGCGTCTAAGTTACCGATCAATAATTTACCAATTCTTCTTATTTTTTACGTATCTGATTATTTTATAGTTTTACAAATTCAATCTTGCTTAAAATTTTCAATAAATTTGTTTTCACTTCTTATTTGGCATTATTTTTGATTAACCTAAACTATGCGAGTTTATGGGTTAAAACCACAATCCGGGTACTGCACACCAGGTGCGACACCTGGAACTCCAGAAGGCCCAGCAACTTGTCCATCTGTTATGTATCCGCGAGCTTCACTTCTGTTTCGTGAAGCGTTTTCAGCGAGAAACACCATACCATTTTGAACAGTTACACCAATAATGTTAATGTGTCTTACTTTTAAATATTGAAAAATTCCATCATAATCGAATTGTAGCCTAATCATCAAATGATCAAAACCACCAAGATGTCAGTGGTTTCACAAAAACTCAAACCACTGAACAATGCATGATTAACAAAAACCAGATCGTTTACGGTTTCAGTCATTCCTCGGAAACAATTCGGTTGACCGGATTAATGACCATGAGTCTAGCTTTTTCAGTAAAATGTTTCAGAAACTCGCCTTTGGTTCGTTTACGGCTGTTCCTACAGTTCTCGTCAGCCCAGGTAGAGTGATAAGCATTAAAATCTCCTAGTAAAATGGTAAGCGCGTCAGGAGGAACTTGCGAACACATCTTTGTAAGTTCATACACAAGTAACACATATTGATTGTTACTTAAAACACTCGTTGGTGACAAATAAGCCACAATAATTAACAATTTTAGATTGCACAAGCTAGCTATTATAGCAATATAATGGTGACTAACTCGATATAATGCTGGGAAAATGAAAGAATCAGAATCACGCGTTGAAATTCCTGCATCCTTAGGCACAGTAGATATGTGTTTACGAACCGGTGTGCCTTCGCAATTCTCCGGCAAACAGCTCCGACACTGTAAAACAACAAAAACAAAGCTCTGTAAAACAGCTAAGATCAGGTAGTTCAGCCCCGCAACGCATACACAAGACATTAGTTGCCTCCACAGCATGTCCATCATTACCATACAAAATATCAAGTAGGGCAAGTATTTGTAACATTTTAAACGTAAAAAAGAAGGCATCACTACATTCAAAAGTATAACTTAAGAGGGAAATGAAACCCTTTTTGGTTCCTTCTAAATAACCTTTTCCGTGGGAGCTTTCTTTTTTTGTGTTGTTGCTTTGTGTTGCCTCTATCTTTCTTCAACTCAGTTTCCAGACCCACAACCTTCACCATTTCAATTCATATTCAGATTTCAATTACAAATTTTTTAATATTTTGTTCATCAAATTTTCGAAAACTAATGAACCAATTTCGGCCATATTGGTCTTAAACGGTAACTTTCAATGAGAAGAGAATGTTAAGTACTTTAAAAATTTCACTTTCAAATTTACAAATTTTACCATAGGATTAACATTCCCAGTGAAATTATTTTCTCGCGGATTGTTGCACCAACTCTTGCAGCTAATATTGGGACACGAAATGTCTGCAATTTTCATGCGATCATGTTGCGGTTAATGTGCATGAAGTAAAAAATATGAATTTTGATTCTCATATAATCATTTTAATTGACTAGAACAGGTATGAATTAAATGAATCTAATGCACATGGAACATGATAATGTGAAATAGGATATTTTCATACTTCATAGCTTGTTGCCATATGATCGCTTTGAGTCGCGTAAAATGTTAACATAGCTATTTTGCTTTACATGCTACTTATTTATGTTAACTGTCATTATCTTATTCAAGATTCAACTACAATCATCATTTATGATGATTACATTCATTCTTAAATAAGTGAAAAATACAATTTAACTCGGTGATAACAATCGGAATTTATCATGGTAAGTGTAAATGTTGACCTGATCCCGACTAAATCTAATAAACATCTTTCATGTTTTATTTTCTTGTAGGATCTATCATATATCTTTAACATGGCTTGTTCTTCATGCAATACGGAATTCAATCATCAAGAATACATCAATATTCATAAATGTTTCTTCTTTCTTTGTGACAGATGCACGAAAGACAAAGACAGATGTGATAATTGTGACAAACCATTACACGATCAACACTTTACACGCGTCAATAACATTGAAAAGTGCCATTATTTTTTCGATTGTTCATCTTTTTCTATTGGAATATGTAGCTGTGTCGAAAAAAGTCTTTGTGAAAAACACATCAATCATGTTCATATGAACATAAAAAATAAACCATGTAACCCGAAATACCATGATATTCATGAAAAAAGCCAATGTGTACTCAATGCTCATTCATGGTGGCTTGTTTCATTAATCAAGTGAATAACGAGCAAATATGTATCGATTGCGCGGCTGATGCTCAAAATGTCATTCCAATGGAATCAAATCTTGATCATGGTGATTTAGATTTCATGGTTTCCAATGCAGCAAAGAATATTGAATCATATCTTGAAACCATGGATTCTGAGCTTGAAAATTTGACAACAAGATACATTATGGATAAAGCTAATATTGAAAAGAATATTTTATCATTCGTTAGCTATTATCAAGAGTCTTTGTCACGAAACGAGGAATCATGGAAGCTGATGGAGCAAAAGTTTAAAGATGCTAAACTCATGTTACAGCGATTCAATGCTCATATGATGATAACTCGAATCATGAATATTTTATGTGATGATAAAGTCAATGAGTGTGGTTTGAAAATCGAGTTTCGTGGTGATTTTATTCAAATTGATGGATCACTTGAATACTTGAAGAATCCAGAGACAAATGTTACAATCAACAATGAGCTACCAAATTATGATACTAGTCTTAAATCATGGTGATCATGGTTCACATGAGTCAATACATGAAACTCAAGTTCATGACAAATCACCAAGCCGCTTAAATATTCATCAAGATAACTCATTTATCAGTGTAAATTCAAGTGTTATGATTGATTTTCACACTTCAACCCCAAATAAAAGGATGCGTCAAGAGTACTCAACCAATGTTGGAGCCAAATCATTTCCACAATTTCAACTAGCTCATCAACTTGAGTTTAATCATGAACCATGTGACCATGCAATTGATTCGAATTATCATGATCTCAAAATTACACATGTTCGAGATCCATTTTGGTTATATATAGAAAGACCCAAGATGAAAGAAAAAAGAAAAGCTATTCTTGAATCTCTTAAGAATCTAAAGCATGATGAATTCATGAATGCTGTTAGCATCAGACAAAATGATATCGTAATTGTCAAAGATCATCCATCATTCAAGGAACCAATCAAACGAGCACAAGTATCATTTTACAACTTGGCAAAGAAAAAGTGGAAGTTGAAGCTAATTGACTTTGGCAATAGCATTGAAGTTGATGCCAAGCAAATTTACACTGCGAAACAAGATCTTAGCATCATAGATATGACAGTGGTTCGTGCAAAATTATTTGGTTAAAAACCTAAGTCAGGTTCATTCTTCATGAATTATTAGTATCAATCAATTGTATTGGTTCCATCTCCACTGTTTATCATTAAATTTATGTTTTCACCTTCACCCAATAATCCCAGTCATTCCCCTAACCTCACCCAATTGACTGTAAAATATTCCCAGTGTCACCCTTAAAATACCTGAAATAACAATATGTAACCGAAATTTCTTACTTGATTCAAAGTTAACCAATTCCTATTGAATAAACATTAAATGCAGTTGCATAATTTTAAGTTTTTGTCACAATGGGTAAACTTAAATTATCAATAGATTTAGTTAGTGAAGTGAAAACTCTATTTGCATGGGATTCAGTGCTTCAGTTATTCATAAAAAATTCAAACAGCGTAATACAGCCGCGAAAGAAAAGTTTGGCATAGTTACCACCAACTTGACGCATATACAATCGTATCCAAGCAAAATCAGCAAATCAATCTCAAACAATAT